GTCGGAACCGACTCCACGGCACATAACAACAACAAGTCCTTGCCCTGGTGTGGCACTGTAGGGTCAGCACTGGGTGTCAAACCACAAGGTTGGCAGTTCAAACCCACCACTCGCTCCTTGGAAACCCTATACAGGGTTGCTATGGGTTAGATCTGACTCGAAAGAGTTTAACAAGAAGTGTACAAACAACTTACACTACCAAAAAGGTCTCCTGTTGGTTGGACAGAAATCAACCATTCTCCCATTCCCAACTCTTGACCTAATTTGGCTTTGTAAACTTCCAAAGAACAAATCTCCGTAGCTTTTTCCCACTCTCCAGACACCTAAAGCTGGGAGCTTGTCCTGCTAACACTTAGATGTTTGTAAAGCAAGGTCTATTGGAGTTTAAGTCACCCCTGAGCTTCCCAGGTGTCCTGGCCTCACTGCCCCCCCAACATACATTTCTTTCTCTGGATGGCTTTCCCCTCTAGGACTCTCACCAGGCGGATGTCGTCCTGCGGCCTCAGTAGTTCCACCATGAGGTGCACATGCTGCCTCTGCTCCTGCTTCCGGGGACTCTGGGGCCCTAGCCCATCGTCTGTCTGGTCCCCGTGAACATCGTCTGTCTGGTCCTCAGTGGGTGGTTTGGCACCTGGAGTTTCCTCCGGTGATGGCTCAGGGCTGGCCTCAGCTGCATCATCGACCCCTGCATCCAGCAGGCCCAGGACAGCCCCCCGAAGCACCGCGAAGCTCTGCCTGACAGGGTGGTAGGGAAATCGGAGGAGCAGTGGTTCTCAAACCTCACAGAACTGCCTGGGGGATTGGGGAAAGGGACTCAGGGTCTCCTGGAGGCCTGAGAATGTGCATGTCTAACAGGTTCTCAGCGTGCCCTGAAGGTGCAGCAGTTAAGGGTCCAGCTGCTAACTGTAAGGTCAGCACTTCAAACACACCAGCCACTCCAGGAAGAAAGATGCAGTGTGCTTTGTCAGTAGATATATAACCCTGGGGCAGATCTCTATCCTACAGGGTCACAAGAGTCTGAATTGACTTGACTGCAGTAGGGTTGGTTTGGCTGACCGATTCCCAGGTGATGCTGTGGCCACACTCTGAGATCTCAAAGTCCCACCCAGTCCATCTAGTCTCCAATGATTGCTCCTTTTCTCTTCCCACCCGCAGTTAAGTTGTGGGGGACCTAGGACTCCTCAGGCTCTGTTCTTCTCTCCTGCAGTTTGGCTTGGGACCTCTGGCCTGAACCAGGTCTAGGGTGGTGAGTGAAGGAGCCCCAGTTGATCAATGAGTGGGTGGAAGCAGGAGCAACCAGTCATGCCCACGAGGACACTGGCTTTAGCTCTTAAGTTCTCCAGGTGGTCCTCGGGGGCCCTGACACTTGATGTCAGGATGAAATATCACGGTCTGGGGCTGGAGGGGGGTGTCTCTGGTGTGTGTGGGGAGCTCACCGTCGCTGGAGTTGGCTTCTCCGTTTGGATGCCTGGTCCTGCTGAGAAAGGGGTCCCCAGGGGAGAATGAGAGAGAGGAGGGCTTTTCTCCCAGCCCCTCCAGCAGGGGGCGAGGCTCCTTAGCAGAGTCCATCGGCCTGCTCTTCCCACCTGACCCGAAGAAGCTGGGGGCGCCTTGCCCAACTCCAGGTCTGGGGAGGAAGACATGGAGGGAGACATATATGGAGAGGTCCTCGGGGCTGGTCCAGATTCTGGGCTGGGAAGTGGGGGCTCCGCGGGCTAGAGTGGCTCAGGGATCTCAATCTTGTCTTGGTGGGACCCCAACCCCCTTCAGCCTGATTTGGGTCTCCCTCTGCACACCCCCAGCCTCGAGGGAAGGCTGCCCATGAGCAGAACATGCTCCTCAGGCCCAGCTGGCAACTAACTGCGTGGGCAACACCACAGCAACGCCAGACTCACCGTGGGCCTCAAGGGCGTGGAGTGTCCGCTGGCCGGGGGAGAGCGGCTCACTGTGACCAAGGCCATGGGACCAGGTCGGAACACCTGAGCTAGCGCGGAGCACAGCCCCCTCACTCAGCCCCAAGTACTGTGTCCGCCGCGGGACCAGGAAGGAGAGCCCGGAGCCACCAGGGCCTGGCACCGCCCCAGGGGCGGGCCTTAAAGGGCCAGTCACTCGCCCAGCGGGCTTGCGGAGTCTTAGCAGAGCGGCCGCGGCCCCTCCCTTCTCGACTCCGCCGAGGCGGTCGCCACGCCCCCGTCCCACTTCTACGCCGGGGGCGGGGCGCAGGTGCAGAGTCGGAGCTAGAGGTCCGTCCCAGCAGTGCGGGTTCCTTCCCTCCGCCCAGGAAGTGCTCCGACCTCCAGGTTTAGCCATTAGTTTGCCTGGGCTTTGCACCTCCCGCAGTTCTTACTGCAGAGCAGGGGTGGGTCGGCAGGACCAGGCCCAGAGGGCTGCTGGACCCACCCCATCTCAGAACTGATTTCCTGCGCTAGACAGTCTTCAAGCTCACAGGGCCCCCTCTCTACATTCGTCACTGGGAACCTCGAAGCGTCACAGAAAGTCGGAATGGGATCTAGAAGTAACCCCTGGAGAGCAGGACCACAGGACCACCGTAGAGGTCGGCAAGACTGGACGGAGACGGCTTACAACGTGGCAGAGGGTAGTGATTATCATGGGAACAAACAGGAGTCAGGCTTGAACTGGTGGAGGGGGCCTTTCGAGCCCCCCCACTCTGGTTGAAGTGGTAGTGGGCGGGGCTAGGGAAGGTGACGCTGTGGCACATTTGTTCTCTAAGGGCACTTAACTCGGGCACAGCTCAGGCTCCCAGCAGCCCTAGTAGGTGAGGGGTGGTTTCATGTTACCTCAGGAAACTGGTTCAGAGACAGCAACAGAATTGCAACCCTGGTCCGACTCCCCCATTCCCAGCAAAGTCAGCCCCCAGCTAGTCCCAGGGCACGCCCCATTGAGTAGAGCAGGCTTGCTGCTTCAGTCTCTTTATTTCCATCTTGGTCTCTACTGTGCGCCCGCCTGGGCTCCAGGCCCCAAGCTCAGCAGCACGGTTTATAAATAAATAAATACATGATAAAAGCAGGGAGGCAGCGGCCCAGCCCGCTCAGGGCTGGACAATCAGTGCTCTGTGAGAGAGAGCCTCAGAATCCGCTGCAAATCCTCCTCCTCCTGCTGCCCTCGGCGTTCCCGCTCCTCCTGCTCCCGGGAAGACAACTCCAGGGCCAGGCGGAGCTGTTCCTCGAAGCTTGGGGGTGCTGGGGAAGGGGGCGTCCTGTGTGGGGATCCCGGACCGCCAGGATCTGTGGACAGCCGCAAGCTTTCTTGGAGCGCTCTTCCAGGTGCAGTAGAAGAGGGAGAGAGAGGAAGCAGTGAGCCTAAAACTGGAGGAGGGGCTAAGAGCCAAACCTAGGGCAGAGTGGCTGGCTGGAGGAGGGCCCAACACGTCCCACGTCCCTGCTCCCACCCACACCGGCAGTCTGCGCTTCTGGGTTGGCCAGGCAGTGGGGCGTCTTTGAGGAAAGCCTCACCGCTCTAGCTGGACTTGCTCTTCATACACTGTGGGCTGTGGAGGATGGGTGCCGGGTCGGGCGCTGGTCAGGGCCTCCCAGACCGTGACCTGCAGCAGCAGAAGCCCAGGTTACCAGCGGTGTCCTGTGGTCACAGAGGACAGCAGCAACCCCCACCAGCCCCAGCAGAGCCCCACCTGCTCCGCCTCCGTGCCAGCCTCTAGCAGGCTCTGCTGGATGGCGAACTGCAGCAGGTCGTCATCTTCATCCCTGGGGGGCTCACTGCGCTCTGCGCCCAGCACGCTGTAACCCTCGGGAACCTCAAACACGGAGGGGTCCACTTCACACGGGAAAGGGCTCCCTGGGCAGACAGCAGGTGTCAGGCTCAAGCCAAGGCTCAGAGCCCAACGAGCCAAGCTGCCCGATCCTTCCCGGTGTAGTACCCGCTGCTGCAGAGCCAGGGGCAGGTGCCCACACAGAGTTCAGGGGTTCATCACAGCCACACAGGTTGCTGAAGGTGATTCGGGCATTGAGCACGTGGAAAAGGGGGATCTCTGTGGGAGATGGCCGAGCCTGAGCCCAGCTGTCCCCTTGGAGCCCCTCCTCCATCCCAGGCTGGGAACCACCCAGAGGAGAGGACACCAGGCCTGGGAGGGGTTGTCTGGCTGACCCTCTCACCAATCTTGACGGGGAAGCCAGGGGGGAGGCATAAGGTGATGAAGTCGCGCAGCTTGGCAAAGTGGGCATTGCTGATGGCCATCAGGTCAATGATGGGTGTCACCTGGTCCCCCAGGGACAGCGGGTGCTCCTCGCTCAGCCACAGAGTCGCCTTGAACCTGCCCAGCCGACCACCAGGTGAGGTCAAGGCCCCTCCGCAGAAGCCCCCCTCTGGACACCTGCCTTGCCTTGTACCCCCTCCCTGACTAAGCACTCTCCTCTCTGCTCTGCCACTCTACCACCCTGAGAGCTGGTGTCCTTCCATCCTGCTGGTTGGAGCTGTCCCCAGCCCTGGAGACCTGAAGCTCAGAATGGTTTGGGACCACGCATGTGAGTGAAGAGCGCACGGGCTGCCTGCTGGCAGTATCCACACCCATCCTCAGCCACAGCCGCCAGCACCTCATTCTGCTATAGTTTCATGTGCAGCCCAGCCCAGAGGCCAGGACAACTGGGGTTCCAATTCCTCCGTTTCCACAGAGTTAACCCTCAGAAAGCTGCCAGGTAATGCCTGCCCATGTGAAGTTCTGGATGCATGGGCATACTGCTCACCTTCACCAGGCCCTCAGGAGGAGCGCTGGTGGTACAGTGGGCGGCTGAACACAAGTGGTTCAAACTCACAAGCGCTCCTCAGGAGAAAGATCTGCTCGCAGAGATTTGCAGCCTCCAGCTCCATAGGAAACGCTATGGAGTAGTTTTACTGTCCTACAGGGAGGGTCCTCATGAGTCAGAAGTGACTCAACGACATGGTGCCTGCAGGAGCTCTGCTAGCATAGTGGATTATGAGGTGGGCTGCTAACCATAAGGTCTGCAGTTTGAATCCACCAGCTGCTACGTGAGAGAAAGATGAGGCTTTCTGCTCCTGTAAAGACTGACAGCCTCGGAAACCCTATTATAGTGGGGCTGTGAGTTGGAATGACTCCACAGCCCCCACCATGATGCCCACAGAAGGAAGTGCGGCCATTTTCACTTTCCTGAAGAGAAAACTAGGCTGGAGAGAGGCGACCATCTCTAGGTAGAGTCATGGTTCCTGGTGCCCAGCCCAGTGTCTGTCCCCCTCTGCCACTTGCTGGCTTACAGAAGCAACTCAGGAAAGATGCACTAAACTGAATCAGAAATCAAACACGTTTCCCTTTGTCATTCATTCATTCACTCACTCACCACGGAAGAGTGACTAGTTCTCTAGGTGCCAAATATCAGGACCATGGATGACGCAGACCCGGCCCCCAAGCACAGAAGTGGCATCAAGGTGAGGCTGTGTGAGCAGCAACCTCATCCAAGACGGCCCATGAGTGACAAGAGCCTGAAGTGGTTCAGGGGGAGCAGGGCCGGGTTCCCATTACCAAGTCGAGTCTCCAGTTGGCCCCCGGTCTCACCTCTGAACTTTGCTGGACATCTCGATGGGGCGGCCAATGTTCCTGGACTCCAGGCTGAAGCTGGGGTCGAAGTATTCATCGGGGGAAATGGCTGTGGGGTTGGTGGGGCAGGCCGCCTGCTGTACAGGAGCCTGGGGGATCCCCAGACCCAGCTGAGCACTCAGGAGGGGGGTTGCCCTGCTGGGCCCACCCCCGTCCAGCCCAGTGCTGCCCTGGCTTACCCCATTGTGGGAGGAATGCTGCTGGGCCATCCCCAGGAAGGACTGGAACGGAGTCTTCCCCCTTGAGGAGAAGGGGTGTGAGCCACGAGGAGACTTGAGGCCAACTGCCCCATCTGCCCTTTCTCCTTCCCTCCCTTGAGTTTCCTGGGGTGCTAGGATAGAGCCTGGGAATCTCCTGTCAGGTGGGAGAGGGAGCTTGTCCCAAGCTACTCTGGTCCCTAGCCCCAGAGGAGAGCGTCCCCACCACAGTGACGGCAGCAGGCAGGCGCACCTGGGTTTACCTTTGCTCCTCGACTTGTCTTGATCAGAGAGGTGCTCTGTGCGGGTGCGTGTCACCAGCTCCACGTTGGTGGCACTATACACCTGGGGGTGGGGGTGGGGACACAGGGGAAGCTGGGGGCTCAGAGCCTGTCCCTTACACTCAGTCTCATTGGCACAGGAACCTGAGTTTTCCTGTCCCCAGACACTGACAAAACCTCACTCCTAATGATAAAGGAGGTGCCAGGGCCTGAACCGGGGGAGTCACTACAGAGGCACTTTACTGTCTCTCCCTCAGCACTCTGGGGTTGATGTGGAGAAGGAACTGAGCCCCCCGGGCCTCATCTCCCACCCTGAGGTTCTCTTACCTTGGCCTCGTAACCGCTAACAGTTTCCATCTTCTCAGACCGCCAGCCCCAGATACCACATTTGTTCCTGAAACAGACCAAATAGTGGGTTTGTGAGGACCCACGTCTCCCATGCCCTGGCCAAAGCCAAGGCCCGCTTCAATCAGCTGGCTCTGACTGCTTCCCCTACCTGCACCCTACCCCTGAGGTCATGTCCCATTCTGAAATGTGCAAAAGTCTTGAAGAGGCTGCCCAGACACCTGGGGCCACTGGAAGATGAACTGGGGAACCGAAGTGAATGAGGGCTTATCATTCATTTCGTTAGATGTAGTAACAGTGTCAGGCTGGGTTTCCAAACATCCTTATCTGTTACCAGTCACGCGCAGATGCATTTACTGTTGACGTGGTACTGATGTCGGAGATGTGCATTAAAACACTTCAGGGAGAAAGAAAAAGATAAAGAAGGCTAGACTAAGCAAGATTGGTATAATGAGCTCTGGTAGCGTAGTGGTTAGGAATTGGGCTGCGAACCTTAAAGTCAGCAATTCGAAACTACCAGCTGTTCCATGGGAGAAAGATGAGGCTTTCTGCTCCCGTAAAGATTTACAGCCTCGGAAAC